ATTTATTTGTGTGTGTGTGTGTGTGTGTGTGTGTGTGTGTGTGTGTGTGTGTGTGTGTGGCCAGTTCAGCCCACAAGGGGCTGGCTGGCATGTGGTGCTGGGGGATTGAACCGTGGTCCCTATGCCTTGCTAAGCTTGTTCTAAGTAGGTGTTTTAGACCACTGAGCCATCTCACCAGCCCTAGCTGAGTTTTTCAAATTTTTTTTTGTCAGAGGGGAGTGGTTTTGGGGATTGAATCCAGGACCCTCACATTAAGTTATGTCCCCGGCCTTTTAAAACTTTTAAATTTTGAGACAGTGTCTTACTAAATTGCTAAGCTGTCTACAGGAGGTTCAAAACTTGAAATCCTTCTGCCTCAGGCTCCTAGAGCACTGGAATGATGGGCATGAGCCACTGGGCCAGGTGAAGGAACTCTCAGGCACTGCTTGGAGGCCCTCACCAGAAGCTAATCTATGTGACACCTTGGCACAGCACCTGGCAGGCAGTCCAGGGCACCACCCTCATCAGCTATTATTACTGTCAGAGCTATTAGGATGCCACTGTATCCAGCCTAGACCCTGGCCCTTCTGTCCCTGTGGGGGAACATGCTACCCTCCTTTCACCTGCTGAGGGTCCCCAAGCCTAGGCTTACTCACAAATGACCAAGGACAGAGTCTGGGAGAGGGACTCTGGGGCCTGAGTTTCAGGAAATGAGACAGGATGGGGTGAGACGCAGAGCTGCCCCTGGCCTTGCGAGGCCCTGGCACTAAACCCACAGCCCAGAGGCAGGAATGCCCACCGCCCCTAAGGGGCTGCCTGTGACCCCCCCTTTCTTCCCCACAGGATGTGGCTGTAGCTCTGGGGAACTGCTGCTTATCCCGCCCCTGCCCGGTACCTCACCCTATCCAGCCCACAGCCACCCTTCTGGACAGAAGCTGGTGGGAGACTCACCCCAAACTCCGTCACGAGGATGTCTGTGATGCTGCCCAGAACAGTCACAAAGTCGAAGATGTTCCAGGCATCACGGAAATAATTCTAGAACAGGGACCCACAAGACAGAGATGCCAACGGAGGGCTCTGTGCCACCCCCCCAGCTGGCAGGGGCACGTTAAGGGGGACCACTGTTTTCCACTCAAATGTATGAGCTGCTCTAGTTGGGGCTGCTTCAGTGCTGGGGATTGAACCCAGGATCTTTTTTTTTTTTTTTTTCAGAACCGGGGATTGAACTGAGGCTCTTGCGCTTGCCAGGCAAGTGCAACCTACACCCCCAGCTGTCTTCTCTTTTGGAGACAGGGTTTCACTTTGTAGTTCAGGCTGGCCTTGAACTCACTGTGTAGCCCAGACTGGCCTCAAACTCCCACTGATTCTCCTGCCTCAGCCTCCCAACAGGAGTCACCACACCCAGCTGCCCCAGCCCTTTTTATTTTGGGACAAAGTCTTATTAAATAGTTAAGTTGGCCAGACTGGGCTCAAACTTGGGATCCTCCCAGAGTGCTCAGTTACCGGGACATAGCACCAGGCCCTCTCAGCTTGTCTGTACAATTTGCTCCAAGTCTCCCTTCCTGGGACTCTCAGGCTTTTTCATAACCTGCCTGTCCCAGATGGGACTTCTGGTTCTGTCTCTGCATCGCTAGGGGGGTTTGTATCTCCAAGAGCTCCCGAAGCCAACAGAAAAGACTTCACTGGGGTTCTTACAAGGATTTCCTGGGGAAAGAGCTTTACCCATTTCCTGTGACCACCTGAGGTTTGGAGATGAAAGCTGCATACTGATCACAGTGTGCAGCCAGGATCTGAATCCAGGCTCTGCAGTCAGGACCTCACTGTCTGTCTGGAACATCTACCAAGTGGGCCAACCCTGGGTTCTAATCCCAGTTCTACCGCCAGAGCTGTGTGGCTATGGGTGAGTAGCTCAACCTCTGTGGGCCTCCATTTCCTGATCTGAAGGATACTACCAGGACAGTAGCCTGGGCTTGGGAACAGTGACCTTGAGCCTTCCAGCACACGTGAGCGGTGCTTCCTGCCCCCTTGCAGTTAGGTGGGGCCTTGTGGCTGCTGTCAGCAGAGGCAGTGTGGTCACTTCCTGGCTAGCAAGAGGCTCTCCACAGAGCTGGACCTGAGGATTAGGAGCTACTCCATGATCCTAAGGCCCTGGGAAACTGGGTAGAAAAATCTCCCCTTACCCCATGGAGTGTAAAAAGACCTCAATATAAAACAAAATCCTTTGCTTATGGAAGGCTCTAGATACAGGGCATGTTTGTTACTGCAGCTTAACTGGATCTTTCCTGATTGATACATCACTGGATTGAGTGTTGGTTGGATGCTGGTACTGCTGCACTGTGGCTGTTCAAATACTGAAATAGCCCATGCTGAATGGTAAACATCACAGTCCCTAGTTCCCTGAAGGCTCCCTGCTCCTTTCAATCCAGCACAGGAATGGTGATGCTTGCTCCTTTAGGAGGGAATGATGATGTTCTGACTGATGTGTCCTGTGTTCACTCCTAGCAGCACCTTGCCTGGAACTAAGAATCAGGGTCTAGCAGAGGATGGTCCCTCCTGGGCCCTCAATGGGCCCTCAGGAACCTCCCCAGAGCAGGTCAGGGCTGGGTCCTGGCTTTAGCGCTCAGCTCCTGCCCTGAGCATCGGACCCCGAGGCAGCTTCCTGCTTCCTGGGTGCAGCCCTGTCCGTGCTCCTCTCCTGTCCTTCGAGCTCTTTTTCCAGATCAACTTCTTGTACTTCATCTTTGTCTCAGGCTCTGCCTTTCAGGAACAGCCAATGAAACACTCTGTAGGTGTTTGTAGCTTTCCCGCTAGTGCCTGAATGCACATGGCGTTACTGTGGGCTTCTCTCGGAATGGACAGGGGAGGCTCAGAGCAGGCTCCTGTGGGATCAGCAGGGAGAGGGAACCAAGGCATCCAGCAGAAGAATCACCTCAGCAGAGGAAGAATGAAACACCTGCACACCAGCTCCCCTCTACCCTGGGCGCCAGGTGCAGCATCTCCCCACCCTGCACAAAGAGGGCAAGGAGCTGGTGGGGGCCACACAGCTAGAAAGGGGAGGAGGCAGAATCAGAACCCACGACTGGAACACAGGAAGCAGGTTCCTCTGCAGCCATGTTCTGGGCTGCATCCCACATACCACGGGCCATGGAAGCCAACCTTAACACCAGAATGCTGAGCCGATGTCCCTGTCCTGATGCAGGATGTCTCCTCTGACTGGTGGGCGCTAAGTGCCATGCGCAACAGGCTGTGGACACTTGGTATCCCCTGGACACCCTGATTAGAAACAGTGGCCACCCAGCAAAGTACATCAGAACTTCTGGAGGTCGGTCTGGGGCACCAGGCCATTTTTTTCTTTTTGCAGTACTGGGGATTGAACCCAGGGCCTTTGCCTGGAGCTACATCTCATTTTATCATTCTCATTCTTATTTTTAAATCTTGAGACAAGGTCTTGTTCAATCAGTAAGTAGTGCAGGATGGGCTTGAACTTAGGCTCCTCTTGCCTCAGCCTACCACAGTGCTTCTGATGGGTGATACGCCCTCCTCAGGGAAGCCATCACTTTAGAGGACAGAGGCAGGCAGGTGTTCTATCCTGTGACCCCAGGGACAGGCACACACTTCACACTGGGCTCCACCTTTGGTCCTTGGACACATACATACTCTTTAGTGCTCGCGGCGCCCTTCTGATGACGGCTGGGGGCAGAGCCTGTGTGTGATGCACACAGTGAAGCAGGTTTTTCCAGCACTCAAACTGACGTCCTCAGCCCCTCAGTACGCCACAGTGGACGCAACCTTCTGAAAGCCATACTCTTCAGAGAGGGACTGCCTCAAGCAGTTGTTAAGAAAGCCGACATCCTGGCTCTGGCTCCAGTTCCAGCTCAGCTATTCACTGAGGCCCGTCCCAAAGTCACTTAACAAGACCCTCCACACTATCATTTGGACCCTCCTTCTCTTCCAAAAGCTTGTATGATAAAGGCTTAGTTGCCAATCTGTGGAGCTACAAGGAGGTCATGGGACCTTTGAGAGGTGGGACAACATGAGGTTACCGCACAGCATAGCCTTGGAGGGGCCATTAGGACCCTAGGCCCCTGCTGTCTGTCTGCTTCTAGGCTGCTCAGAGGTGAACAAACATCCGCTGTCAAGGACTCCTGCCAGGACAGAACATGCCACAGGCCCTGAGCCAACTCAGTGTAGACTGGAACTGAGAACTTCCTTTAAGTTGATTATCTCAAGTATTTTGTCATAGCAATGGAAAGCTGACAGACACACTGCAAGTCACAGCCTATCAGCAGCAGCCTTTTCTTCTTTTCCTTTTTCTTCTCCTTTCTTTTCCTTTGATGATGCTAGAAGTTGAATGCAGGGCCTTTACACTGAGCTCCACTGGCAGCCCCTTTTTTATCTTCAGACAGGGCATTGCTAGGTCACTAAGTGGCACAGGTGGGCTCAAACTCATGATTCTACTGCCTCAGCCTCCCACAGTCCTGGGTTTACAGGTGTGCATCACCATGCCTGGCTCTTTTCTCTCCATCCTGCTTGCCCATTCCTTTCTTCTTTCCTTTCTCCCTTTTCCTCCTTTCTCTCTTCCCTTCCCTTCCCATCCCTCCCATTCTCCTTCCTTCCTTCCTTTTCTTCCTTTCTTCCTTTTTTACTGTTTTCATATTATGACCTCCCTTGGCCATCTTGAAAGACTTTCTCACATTGACATTGATAAATCCATAAAATAAAATAGTAAGAATCAGTTCTTACTGGTATACTTTTGCAAAAATAAAATTAAAAAATGATAATCTAGCACTTCATAAGCATACCAAATAATAAGTTCTAGGTGTAGGTTTAATGGCCACCAGCATTTTGAAACAATAGTAAGCATAAATGCGAATTGAAGGTATTTATAATACCAATCATGCACTATGAAAATATCTGATTTTTATACACAATGTGGACCATATTGATAATACTCATAGGTTTTGTCACCTACTGCTAAACTTTGGGTAAGTGTCTCCTAAAGGCCCATGTTGTTGGAGGCTTGGCTTCCACCCTATGGCCGTAAAGGGTGGTTAGTGTAATCTTTAAGAGACAGTGCCTAGTGGGAGGAAGTGAGGTCACAGGGG